AAAGTGTAGATTTATCTTACTGTTACATACGAATCTAAATATTAAAATAAAAACAGATGGGATTTATATTTTCTCGGGTACATTTATATCTGCCAGAAGATATGATATAATTTGATCATCTGTATGTCTAAGACCGAGTTGAAAGAAGTACTATATCCCGGATTTGAGTAATCTTTACAGGATTTCATAGTACGGCATGTCTGTGCTACCGTGAAACGTTTGCCGAAGACCAACAGATGAATATATATATATATATATATATATATATATATATATATATATATATATATATATATATATAATAAAAGTTCTACCAGGAGACCTGGTCTACGGGCTGAAATAGTGCACAGAGCTGCAGCTTTAGGTATTTACAGCAATACTACATGCTTTTCATATAATAGTTTACATCACTGTTGCTTGATGCAACATTAAAAAATCATAAATAATAAATATGAAACATTTGCCTAATAACATGAGCCCAGTGGAGTTTTACCTATATTCATTGCGACTCAGTAACCCCGCATCGTCCCTACAATTCTCTCTCTATTACGAAATAAAGAAATCTTTATATTACAAACTAAATATATCTTGGCAATGTTTAAATGTAAAATATGAACCTCGGCTCCAAAATACATAAACTATACGTAAGCTTGAAGAAAAATATTAAATATTGCGGTCGTATTATGCCACGTGTTAGACTATACTTCATAATTTACGTTGCACGGCACAGTTTACAAAAGTTTCTGGAATGATTTTGATATTAAAATAGTTTGAGCTGCGACTTAAACGATTACACCAGCTAACAAAATTATTCAGTAAACCGGAATAATTTCAACTGGGTTAATTGATAACATAATATGTAAATAAAATTGTAAGGTAGAGATTTTTAATTCTTATTACTCATTATAAATTTCATATATTTATTCATACAAAAATTTGTTAGATTTAGATAATATTTAAAGATTGAATGAAAGTAATAACAGGCATTTTTCAATAGGTTCTTGAACTATTTTTTTCTCGATTAGACATGTAAACCATCCTGTATTAAATTGTACTAGCTACTGTCCTGCAGCTCAATAGAGTAAACAGAAGTGTGCAGGTGCATCATTTTTGTCAGACTATATGAAAAAATACAATATAAATTTGTGCAGTCATATTCAAACAGTATTTTGTTATGAGAATGTACGGTCATCGACCAAACCCCAAATTCTCATATATTTCCTATCCCCTATCAATTATTTTGGTCAGTACTCAAGTCGTACATATTCCATCCTGGCTTCGTTAGCCAGCAAATAATTTCTCGTAATACAAACAGGGAAACGTATATTCAAAATCAATGCGTTCGACTGTGTAATCAGTTGTATTAAATTATTATCATTTGCTTGCATAATGCAACGCGAGTTTGTAATTAATTATAAACGTTTTGATCACAATAGCCGTATGCGTTTCTCGTTGCCGTAGATTTTAATGGGACAGTTGGGTGAAATTTTATTCAAATTGGAATTGGGATAGAATGAAATATTAGAGAGTTATGAAATTTTGACTGTGTACTTGGTAAAATTGAGCGTAAACTCCTTTTCGTGATGTCGTCCCAGCCAGTCTCAAATATCTGAGTACAACCAAAGTATGACTACTTGGTATGAGGATGATCAAACCAAGAGGGGATCATAGGTTATGACAGAACGATTTTTGTAACCAATCATGTTTTTTAGAGTTGTAGAAATTTTCATAATTAGTTAATAAATTTACTATAGTATTATTACTAATATTCAATTTAGTAATATTTCATCCAGATTTCCTACTAACCGTAGTTCGGTGTACTTGTTTGCTTCAACCGGGTTGACCGTCGCGTCGCTTGATAATTGAAATTGGATATCGCTACAAACCAACAGAAGCGTAATCGTGATCCTTTGTGAAAGCGATATATCAATTTTTTTTTCACAAAGGTCTTGGATCAAATTGAAATCTAATAAATCGCAGATTTATGGAATCTCTGGGAAATTCCTCTATCTCTTAATTGTATTATTATGTAAAAAATTGAATGAACTTCTTGATCTTATCGATGAGTTATTGATTTGTATATGATCTTGCTGTGTAACAGTCTACTTGTTCACCTTCAAATGACTACTTGTCTAGGAATATACTTTCATATCTGCCTATCTGTTCACTGGTTTAAATTACTACTTTTGTACTTCTCTACCTGTCAACCTGTCATCCTTTCTATTTGTCTATCTTTCTACTAGTCTACCTGTGTCCTAGTCCATCTTCCTGATAGTCTAGTCCATCTACCTGCTAGTCTAGTCCATCTACCTGGTAGTCTAGTCCATCTTTCTGATAGTCTAGTCAATCTTCCTGATAGTCTAGTCAGTCCATCATCCTGATAGTCTAGTCCATCTTCCTGATCGTCTAGTCCATCTTCCTACTAGTCAACCTTCCTACTAGTCTACCAGTCTTCTAGCCCACCAGTCTACCTGTCTACCTGTCTACCTTCCTACTGCTCTACCTATCCAACTCTGTCTACCTGCCATCTATGTGTCAATACTTTAACATGTATATGAATGAAGAATAATAATTTGTAATGATCATTTCAGACCAGTAAGTATCTATTATTTGACTTTTTCTTGCAACTCCGAAAACGCTAAACCTGCCTTTGCAAAAAATGTACTCAATGCAAGCAAAATGTTGTTTTGAATCATCCGAATTGGATACTCAATTTCTCAAAATCTGTCATATTTTTGCACTCTTTGCTTTTTATTTCCAAAACAATTGGACCTACCTTTGCCAAAAACTAATACAACGGTATATATTATTTGATTCAGAAACATGAATCACCAACTACTATTCATGATTTTTCGGAATTCATTGTTTCACCTATTTATTTTAGCAGTTTTAAAAAAAATAGCAATTATCTGACTAATTTTCATTCAGATTTCCTCCTCTGTTCTTTTTCATGAAAGCGTGTTGGCACAAACTACACACTCCAGGGAAAACCACGTTCTAGTAAAGTTCAATAATTTAATTATTCAGATTTTAATTTATCGAAACTTCAGGCCAAAAAGTACGGAAAAGAGCATGTTTCGGAAATGATTTCGTTTCATATAAATTATACACTGATTAAATATTGTGTAAACAAATGATAGAGGCAATTCATAAAGCAACTTTAATTAATTTCATAATTAAACAATATTGATAATA